CGGATTGCCCACGGCCGCGCAACTTCCATCGAACCGTTCGAGCGGGTGCTTAAGGAGCATACCAGTGTCGGCTCGATCAGAGAACCCGATGCGCTCGTCGAGTATCTCGACTCCTTGAAGCAGAAGGAGCAGATGATCATGGACGAGTACAAGCGCGTTTCAGTCGAGAAAGACGAGTTCAAGAAGAAGTTCGAGGCAGCCGAGAAGGAGGTCGAGACGCTGAAGAAGGAGGTCGAGGAGCTCAAGGCTGCTAAGCCTGAGCCCGCGGCGGACAAGGCGGAAACCAAGGAACAGGTCGACGCTGCGACGGACACCAAGGACGATGGCTCTGTGAAATCCCCCGACCCGAACGCCGCCAAGTCGCCCCTGCAGCAGGCGTTGGGCATCTTCTCGCCGAAGCAGAAGCCGCAGGAGCCAGAGGCGGACAAGGACAAGCCCGACGATGCCGGCGACTTCTTCTCATACGACGAGGAAGCTCCCAAGTACGAGGCCGACGTGGCTGCTAAGGAGGAGGAAATTGAGAAGCTCAAGACCGAAGTCACCTCTCTGAAGACTGAGCTCGCGTCTGCCAAGAAGTCCAGCGATGATCTTACCGAGAGCCTCGAGAAGATCACCAAGGAGGCCAGCGAGCTGCGCGATGAGGCTGCTGTCAAGAACTCCCTTCAGACCCAACTCGACGCTCGGAACACTGAGATCAAGACGCTAACCGAACGCCTGGAGACCTCGCAGAAGCAACTTAAGGATGTCGAGAGTAAGCTCAAGGGCGAGCTCGAGACTGCTACCAAGGATGCCAAGGCCGCTCAATCGAAGTTGTCCGAGGCAAACACGCGGGCTGAAAAGGGCGAGGCGCGAGTCAAGGAGGTCCTGGCTTCTAAGGCTGAAGTGGAGAAGAAGATTGCAACTCTGAATACCCAGATTGAAACCGTCAGGAAGGAGAAGGCCGAAAACGAGAAGAAGATCGACGAGCTTACTAAGAAGCTGGAGAAGCAGAGTGAGCCTGTGCCTGCTACACCAACAACCCCTGCGCCAACCGAGACTACTGCCGCTGGCGCGGGTGGTGCTTCGAAGAACAACAAGAAGAACAAAAAGAAGAAGAAGGGCGGCGCTGCCGCTGCTGCAGCACCTGCGGCAGGCACCGCCGAACAGCCTTCGCCTGCGGAGGAGTCAAAGGAGTCTGACACAGAGGCTTTGGAGGCTGAGATTACCCGCTTGAAGGAGGAGGTATCCACAAAGGATTCCCAGATTGAGCGGTTGACGAAGCAGCGCAAGACGGAGGAGGATCTGCGCGAGGAGATTGACACCCTGCGAGACGAGCTGACCGATATTGGCCAGGAACACGTGGTAGCCAAGGAGAAGATCAAGAACCTCGAGATCGAGAAGAAGGAGCTGCAGACCAGGATCGAGGAGCTGGAGAAGGAGCTGGGATCGTCTGCAAACGATGCCAAGGCCACCGAGAAGCTGCAGAGCGAGTTCGACAACCTCCAGCGCGAGTACGACGACCTCAAGACCAAGTCCTCAACTCTGCAATCCGACCTGGGCGCCGCCCAGCAGCTGGCTCAAAGCCGCTTCAAGGACCTCACCGAGCTGCGTGAAGTCCTCCAGAAGGCTCAGCCTGAGATGAAGAGCCTGCGTCAAGACTCTGCGGCTCTCAAGACCGCCAAGGATGAGCTCTCGGCCAAGAACACTGAGCTCCGCAACCTCGAGAAGAAGGAGAAGGACCTCAAGGCCGACGTCGCCCGCACGCAGCGCCTTGCCGCAGACCGCGAGACGGAGATCAAGTCCCTCCGCGAGAAGCTCACCAACGAGACCAACAACCGCCTCCGCCTCGAGGACGCCCAGAGGGTATCGGGCCGCGACCTCCGCCGCTCCGAGGCCGAGAAGGTTGAGCTCAGCGCCAAGCAGGAGAAGGCGGCGCAGGAGCTGCAAAAGGTGCAGGAAGAAGCCAACAAGCTCCGCCCACGGGTCAAGGAGCTCGAAGACGAGGTGGAGAAGTTGCAGAAGGAGAAGAAGAGCCTGCAGGACGAGGCGGACCTCAAGACGCAGCAGTACACCAACGCGCAGGGCCTGCTCGGCAGCATGCGCGACCAGACGGCGGAGCTCACTATCCAGCTCAAGGAGGCCCGATCGCAGTCCGAGTCGCTCGAGGAGGAACTCGCCGAGATCCAGAAGCACCTTACCGAGCGGACCCGCGAGGCGGAGCGCATGCGCGGCTTGCTCGCCGATGTGGACGAGCGCGCCGACAGCAAGGTGCGCGAGATGCGCGCGCGCATGGAGGCTGCGATTGAGGAGCGCGACCGCATCGAGGACGAGTCGAGCACGCTCGCCAGACGGAAAACGCGCGAGACGGAGGAGCTCAAGCAGAAGATCCGCGACCTGGAGCGCGACATCAAGACGCTGTCCGGCGAGAAGGAGGAGCTGGAGCGCAAGGAGCGCGAGTGGCGCAAGCGGCGCGAGGAGCTCGAGGCCGTAGAGGAGAAGGCCGAGGCCGAGGTCAACGAGATGCGCGCGGCGGTGTCGGATATCCAGTCCACGCTCGACGCGTCGGAGCAGCAGGTCCGCGACGCCGAGAAGCAGAAGTCGGATCTCAGGCGGCTGCTGGAGGAGTCGAAGCAGCGGTTCGACAAGGTCAACAAGGAGCTCAAGACGGTGCAGGCGAAGCTGGGCGCGAGCGTCACGTCGGGCCGGAGCTCGGTCGAATCGAGTCGATCTGGAGGCCTCAACGGAACCGGATCGCCTGCGCCTGGGGGTGCGTCGGCGTCGACGGCGGATAGCTTGTATCTGAAGACGATTCTGCTGCAGTTCTTGGAGCAGAAGGATAATAAGCTGAGGGAGCAGTTGGTTCCTGTTCTCGGGCGGATTTTGAAGTTTGACAAGTAAGTTTCATCGCTTTGATCTGAGTCTGCAGATGAGGAGTGCTAACGATGAGTGCAGGACGGACGAGCAGAAGTGGAAGGCTGCGATTCAGCACATCACTGTGAGGTGATGAGTAGTGCGTATGTGATAGTTGTATGAATAAATACCCCCCACGACGAGTTGGGTTTCTCTTGCGCCCTTTTCTGTTGGTTTTTGGTGATGGTTTGGTTCGCATCGGGTCTACAGAATCAAGCGATTTAAGCATGAAGCGAGTGCTAAGGTTAAGGGCGAATGGGCCCATTCGAGGTCATGGGTGTCCATGTCACCACCTTTGAGGCCTAAGGGGGGGGGGGGGGGGGGGGGGGGGCTCTAATTTCACACACCTTCTGGACATCCCTTATGGCTGGTGCCCGCGCCTGCCCTCCAAGTGCGCCTGCCGTCCAAGTGTGCCTGTGGCTTCAGGCATTCAGGGAAACAAAAGGAAACACAGAGCAACTCTCATTGCCCATAGAGGTCACGGTACGAATCTCGCAACTAAATCCAACATTTCTGTCTCTTACTGCTATTCCTATCATTCTTGTCCTCGGTCCTTGTCCTCGGTCCTTGTCCTCGTCGTCCTTGTCCTCGTCGTCCTTGTCCTCATCGTCCTTGTCCTCATCGTCCCTGTTCTTTTCTCGCTCTTTCTCTTAAGCTTCGGAATCAGTGACAGCCACTTTATTGCCATAAAGGTCGTGTACACACCGAGATGGAAGTTGTTGAAAAGATGCTGGATCAGTTACGCCAACTCCCCCCCACCATATCTGTAGCGTGAGACTGCATATGGTTATCCAACGTGGCGGCATCTTGCATTTCGATGTCGCTGTCGTCCTCTTCCTCGCCGTCAACCTCTCCCTCGCTTTCCTCCTTTGTTGAGTCACGCACCATCTCGTCAAAGGCCCTCTTCAACACGCCGCTTGCAGCAGGCACCAAGTCGTCAGTGTCTATGGACAGAGACAGGGTGAAAGAATGCATTGTTTGCCTCCACAAATCGCTCAAGAGCATATCTGGGCGGAGATCCAGCTCATGGAAATCGAAATGGACCATGGATATATAATCGAAAAGAAGTACATGACGTACTCTGAAGGCCATGGCGTAGGTCAACGGCTGTTGGATCAGCGAGCGGCAGTACTTGTCGTAATACTTCTTCTCTGATGTGGAACGTCTGCGTGAGGCTCGTGCTGCACTCCTGAAGTACTCGACGTGGGCGAACAAGACTCCGATCTTCTTCATTTCCACGCCCGCGAAAGCTTGGCTCGGCTTATTTGGTTGAACTTAGGTGCGACAATCATACCGTGACCGCTACCTCTATGGGCATTGAGGTCTTATTTTGCTCTGCCTTTCCTTTTGTTTCCGTGGCTGCCTGGAGCCACCCATACAGGCCCAAACCAGAGGACCGCCCCTCCTTTCGTTCTCACCTTGGGCTTTGTCCGAAGACAGGTGCACTGCTCTTTTCTCGGTCCTCTCTCTCCATCTTTCCTCCACTCGTCATCTCTGGTCAACAAGCACGCACCGAAGAAAAGAAGAGGACTCTCAAGGGCAAGCCCCTGCTTCCTACACCCGCAGCAACTCAATCGTTGTCATTTCTTCCTTCAATACCAGATTTCGCTCCACGCCACGGTTTGCCTTTCTAGGCACAAGCTCGGGTCTCTTCGCAAAGATACTCATCCCATCCTCGCAAAGCTTGGCAATTTTCTTGCGACTATCTTCTCCTACTCTTCGTCTCATCAGCCCCCCGCCTTCCTCTTCGCGACTTGCTACGAACCATCATGTCCTCCCTTCAGGGCATCCAGCTTGGAGTACCGTCTTACGCGGCGGGCAAGGAGTTGACGCTCTCACTCCATATCAAGATCACACCTCAGTATGGACCCAGTCACTTCCCATGGCCCTGGAAAAGTCCATCACGCATCAAAACCCCATTCCCTTATTCGGTTCGGACACATCCTACCGGCTTTGATCCCGAAAGAGCAGTCCCCGCCAGCGAACGGCTGCGTCTTTGCGTCCTCGAGACACTTTCAGGGGGTTATGAGAAAGGTCCTCAAGTTGTTCTGTGCAGGGTCATAGAGGCCCCGTCTGAGATTACGCCACACCATGCTCCTCTCGCCGCAGGAATGAAGATTGTCATCAAGATCTTCGACCACGACTACTACCCACACACAGTCACATTTCCCCGACCCTTCACCCATTACCAGCTAGCCGACCAAGATCTGAGCCGACAGGCGTCTGCTTTGCGCTACATGCACCGAGTTGGGAGGGATGAGAATGGGATTGAGATCCCGGGGAAGCTCCGACTCACTGGCGGGCACAATCTCACACCTGAGTACTACGGTACCTGGGTAATCGACCTGAATCGGATTTCCACGGATGGAAAGCGATACGCCGGTGCTGTGGCTATGGAGTACATCGATGGAGTTTCCATGGAAGACCTCTGTACACGCGAAGACGAGGACTCCATGCGCGTCTACCCTATGGCCGAACCACAGCCCTTGTACGATGCTGATGACGAGAACGATACACATGGCTACCTCGACATGGGTGAGCATACTCGCTTGAAAGTCCTCGCCGACATCATCGGTGGGTTCGTGGAGGGCTACAGCCTCGGGGTCAATCACGGAGAATACGAGCTTGGCGATTTCATGATTACCTATCTATCTCATGGAAAGGAGCTAAAGAAGTTACGATTCCCCAGAGTGGTCAAGCTGAATTACAAGTTCTGCCAAGTGTGGTGTATGACCCGCATGGCAAAAGTTCAGCGCTGGAGCGACAATCAACAGCTTCCATACCCCGTCCATCCAGCCGACCACTTCACTCTTCGCGAACTCATCGACTTTTGTGGCTGGTGGCCGTATCAGTGGTGGCACGATGAGTCACAATTTTACGCGTGGCTTGTGAAGGAATTTGGACCGATGGAAGAAAACGTCGCGCCCTGGCATCTCTCCCTGTACGCCACTTTGGAGACACAGAGAAGAAAGACTGCGGCGGAAGCATTGCCGTTCGCGAATGAAGAGGATCCGTCCTAGCGAGACATCCCAATCACGGACGAGGAGATCGAAATCGTTCTCTCCGATAGCAAAGCCATCTTGCTTCAGAAAGCAGGCGACCACCTCCTCAAAACCAACCCAGTCCAGCTCCCGAGCCATGCAAAAGAGATGCCATACTTGGTCAACGCTAGATATGAAGCCACGATCGCTGCCGAAGATGTCGTGAAGAAGAGACTATCTCCGGAAGAGCGGCCAATCAGTGCGCGGCGCCTTAAGCTGTCGATGACTGCGGCAGAGGAACGCCTCAATAGGCCTGAGTTGGAAGCAGACATCAAGAGCGAGCTCGACGAACTGGTTCGCAAAGCTTACTTCAGGAAGCTCCCGGATCCTAAGGACAAAGTCGTGTCGGGTGCCCTTCGCAAGGCCTTTGAAGACATGCATCTGCAGGAACCAGAGATGCGAGAACGAGAGGAGGATGACGACGATGACGACGACGACAATGATCACGACGACAGTGACCATGAAGATGGTGACCATAACGATGGTAATCACGGCGACGATGACCACGACGACGGTGACCACGGCGACGATGACGATGACCACGGCGACGATGACGATGACCACGGCGACGATGACGATGACCACGGCGACGAGACTAACGACCACGATGCTAATGACGACGAGGTCAAGGACGAAGAGGTCAAGGATGACAAGGCTGAGTATGACGAGGCCAAGGATGACAAGGCCAAGGATGACAAGGCCGGGGACAACGCTGAAGCTAAGGACGACAAGACTAAGGACGATGAGGCTAAGGATGACGAGGCTAAGCCAGCCAGCAAGTCAAAGGCTTCACCCTACGCGCCTAATTACCTCAAGTCTACCACATCATCCAGAGCCAGGTCTAAGTCAGATGTTAAGTGAGAATTGGGGCATGGCTTTTTTGGGCTTTTATAAGTAGCCGCATTGTGCCAAACTCATTCTCTTCTTACATGTATTCAGAAGGAGAATAAGAAAGAGTTGTTCTTGTAGGATATCCACCATACGAATAGTTAGATCAAACCAGAATAACATTGCCTGCGCCAACATCCAAGATTAATTTTAGGCAAGTAATACAGTCAGTCACACAACGACGGGTGGCTTCAAGTTGGACTTGCGCAGCAATATGACCGGACCTGTTGAGCTAGCCAAGAACAAGATATAGGTAATGGTTCTCTTTGAAGTCCGACATGAGATGTGTGCCGTGGAAGACAAGGCGATCTTCGATTCGACCAGAGCTGCTCTGCATCCCTTATCTTCCCTCTGCAACTTCCGTGACAAAGCACCAATCGGACAGATTCGGAATGCAAATTGCAACTTTTTAGTTGATAGAATTCTTCTTTGGTCTATCTAATTTATCACTATTCTTCTTACAAGTAAACAACCGATTAGAAGTTTCTGATTCCGTCACCTCTGTAGATGAAAACGCTCTCAAACAAGGCATGAACCTCGTCGAACTAATTGCCATTTCCTTATTCAGCCCTCTCGCGGACCCAGACCATGCAGTCTCAGTAGTCATTTTTCGTCATTATAGCTCTCATGCGCCGTTTACACCTTCCCTAACTGGCGTCTTAGTTTGAACACACTCTTTTATTAGTACACGATATCTCCTAGTGGTGTCTTCGCTCTACTTGCCCTAAGACCAGATAAGCCAGGACCAAACTCTTCTACATGGATAGTTCGACCGTGGGCTTCTGTCTGGAGGAATTTCGCGGCCTTCTCAAGGCGGCTGTTCAATGTGTTGACAAACGTGATAACGAGGTTCAGCCCTGTCTTTGGATCGTGTTCCGCGAATTTCCACTTCCGTTGCAATTTAGCGTAACCAACACGCCTCTCGGCAGTAAATGGTTTGTCAAGGAGCAGAGCCTCTAGCTACAACAGATGTCGTTGATCACCAAGTTAGCAGGTCAATGCTGTCATTTTCAAGTGCGGGGCCGACTTTCTCCTGCATACCCCTGGAACAGTTTCTATCCCCCGATTTGGAGAGATGCCTTTTCGGTTCCCATCTTTCAATCTGTACTCTCAATACGCTCGGCATCGATTCTGATGTGGAGCTCGGTAGCCGAGGCGGCCATAGTCACCATTTCGTTACGAAGCTTTCAGTCTATGCGGACATGTATGGAATTGTCGAGACTGGACTTCGAATATTGGGAAAGCTAGTTTATGCATCTCAGCTACAGCCAGGGGTACAATTTCGATCATCAAGAGCTGCCATCTGATGGACTTTATTTCGGCGTCGAGGACTGGCCATATATTCTCGTGGCAATCCATGCTAACCATGGATCCTCGAACGAGAAGCAAGCAGTGTTTCAATACCTCCCTCCTGAGGGTTACGTCGACCTGCGAGATCATTCGGAGAAGTCGAAATAGCGTTTCCCGTCTCCTCGAGAAGTCCGTTTTGAATTCCGGGCCGGGGTAGAGGATGTAATCCGACGACGATCTGATCTCCTCCGCCGCAAGGCGAGCGCCATGCCCCGCCATACGGATTTGCTTCCCATTTATGCGAAGTATCTCGCATATTGCAAGTCGAGATGCCTAAACCTCGCGTGCAATTTGGAGAGATGGACTTCTTGGCCCTCTAGAACAAAGTCTTAAGGCCAAAGCGTCGATAGCGTCGTACGCCAGCTCTTCTGCCAGCTCGCCGTCCCAACCTCGAGGTGCGACCTTCTGGATCACCCCCTGGATTGAGTCTTCGTTCGCAAAGGTCGTCAACGACTAAGCCGCATTCATTCTTGTGATCACTTCCAAATCAGCGTACAGGGAGTAGTCCTGACTTTTGCGGCCATCGTACGCAATCTTGGGCCCGAATGCTTCCAGAAGCCACGCCTCAGACTTGGCTTCCTCGCGCCACCATTCGTAAGGAAACCAACCTGCAAAACAAAATTTTCAAACGGGATTCATCACTCATATCGAGGATGCTGTGCTCTAAAGACTCGTCGTCGGTGTCATAAAGAGGCTGCGGGTCGGGATCAGAGTAGAGGCCCTCGCGGTCGCAGAGGTCTTCTATAAACGCCGTCAACAAATTCCATAACAACGGCGCCGACGAATCTGCTTCCGCCACCCAGCTCGATTGCCCAGGCGCCGTGATATTCATGGGCGAGCAGCTTGCCGCCGGTGAGTTGTCGGTATAAGGGCTCTTCCTTGCTCGTCTCGTCTTTTCCGATGCGGTGTATGTATAACAAGACCAATGCCTGACGGCTGAGATCTTGGTCGGCGACGGCTTCCGGCGGATAGGGGGGTTGTATGTTGAGGGTAACATTCGTGATCAAACACCTTGATCACAATTCGATCGCCGAGTTTCAGAGGGATGTAGCGCGACGATTCTACGGAAGGAGCTTCCAGAACCTCGCAAAGAAGAACTTGAGTGTCCTTATCGAAGCCGCCAGAGAGAGTTTTGAGTACCGAATGGCGAAGCTGTTTGTCAGGTTCGGCTTCTGGGTCAAACAATCCGCTAGGACGGGTGTCGAGATTTCGGGGAAGGGGCTTTTTTCGCCGGCCTGATTTAGTAAAGAAAGGCCACGGAAAGTGGTTGATACCGTAGGGACGTGTGATCTGATTCATAGGGAAGAGTGTGAGCTCGGCGCCCGCATCGTATGAGCCGACTCCTCTCTCAACGCCGTGAAGGGGGCTCATGGTGGCTTGGATTCCGACGATCGACAAGTGGGCGTTATGTTGACGCGGTCGTATCGCGGTAGAGAGAAACGGCTTTGCGGTGCTGTTGACTTTTCTGGAGAGCGACGTCTTTGCTAGGGCCCGGGGTTGTTGATCGATCTAAGAACGGTGTGGAGGAATTTGGTGGTGTCTTGAAGGTGCTTGCGTGCGACAAAGTTCGAGCCTGCGTCATGCAATAGAGGGTAGGCGCTTGAATATTAATAAGTAGGTGAAAGAGTCGGAAACGGGAAAAACATACTGCATCCTGATGTTTACGTTCTTCATTCTCCGGAGAAAGAGTGCACCGTGCCGAAGAGGTATGGGCGAAGTCAAGTCCGAAAGGCACTACCTTGGGTAAGGTAGGTAGGTGGGTAAGGTAAACTTCAGTCTGTCATCTAAGTGAGCAGGGCCCAGGGACCATACGGGCTATAGGGATAATGGAGGGCGCACGAATAGGACGATGATATCAAGGTCGATAAGAATAATCCGGCTCAGATAATCAAGACGAGATCCCGTTTGTGTATTTGTGTGTTCAGTGTTAACATCCATCCCTGATTTTCGCTATTCGGGCGGATACTTGCTCAGTCAGAAGTACTCATCGCCACAACAGTACTCAACTTCGATATAAACAACCCAAGTGCAGGTAAAGGCCAAAATTGACCAAAGCAATATGTTTCCATCAAGATCAGAGAAAAAGAAAATGGATTGGTCATAACTCATTCTAAGCTGATTGCTCATGCACATCTAGGTATAGAGAAACCAGAAGCCTTCCCCAAATATCGTACACCTCACACCTCCCGCCGCTCCTCTAAGCAGAGCAAAGCCAGGCCTCGTTGTCAACCAGGTCCACCGACTTGGTCTTCTGCACGGGGCAGATCTTACGGTCCAGACCGCAGTTGGTCGTGCCGCACCAGTCGTTCTCGTTGCAGAGCCAGACCTGGTACTTCCAGACGTGGCGGTCGTAGTCCTTCTTGCAGCGGTTGACCTTGATCTTGTACTTCTGGTCGGGGCCGAACTTGTCCAAGGGCGCGTAGGCCCAGTTCTCCGTGTTCTTCGGTTGGCCTGGTTCGCTGTTAGTTCATGCCGTATCATTGTTTAAAGCTTGGAGCCGAAACTTACTGCCGAAGATGCCGCCGTTGGAGTCGCACTTCTGCAGGACACCGATCTTGGTGAGGCCCGCGGCCTTGGCGCGCTGCTGGACGTTGGCGTCGATGTGGAAGGTGTAGTACGAGAAGTCGTATTCGCCGCTGACCGGGGCGGCGTTGCAGCTATCCTGGCGGGCGACGAGGCCGGAGGCTTCGCCCTCGGCCATGGCGATGGGGCTCGCGCTGCCGAAGGCGGCAAGGGAAGCC